ACAACAGTTTTAAGACAAAGAAGCTGGCACTATATTGGTCACACTGTGAGAAACAACGAGCAAAGAATGATCAGACTATACAATGGGAACTAGAGGGAAGGAGAGGGCAGCACCTCCTTAAGAAACCCTAATGCGAGCGTTGATGAGTGAGGCCAAAGCTACTAAACTAGATTCCAGCCATAATATCGAATTGACTGCCCAGGATAGAACGGAATAGATCAATAGACTGCGAGCCCTATACGACATGTAATGACACAAGAGGACCATTAATATGTTTTATTACCGACTACTGTCATTGACTAGTTTTATGGTTTACCTATGCTACTGATGATAATATCTCAATTAAAGGAAAATAGACTTAACCAAATCAATAAATTTGAATATCTGGAAACTCATATCATCAGATGGAAAATGCGTGACAGAGATTAAAGGCAGAATATGTCAAGAAAAAGCTGCATTTCAGAAAATTAAAGATATGCAATAAATCGCTCTCATTAAATGTCAGAAAAAGGGTGATTAAATATTACATATAGTATATTCTGCTGTATGTCAGTAAATCTTGGAATGTCACTGAACAGATTAAGAAGAATTTGGAAGCTACAGAGATGTGCTTTTTGAGACGAATGTTACGAATACCTTGGACGGTCAGAGTAACTAACAACGATTGCTTGAAAGAGGCTTATGAAAGTAGATCTCTATTTGCAATAATAAGAAAGAGACAAACACTGTTTTTTGGCTACATAATGAGAAGAGAGACATTGAAGAACATCGTGACAACTGGAAAGATCAGTGGAAAGATGGGCAGAGGCAGACCAAGACAGATGATGCTGGATGGTCTAAAACGATGGAGAAATATCATCAAGAAAGCTGTTCCAGTCAACCAGGGATCGTTATCTGTGGAGATGCATGAGCGGCTACGCCAGTTGACATCAGATGATAATGATGCTACTGATAATTATTGTTTAGTTATAGCTTTTAACTTAAAAAAGAATTTAGGTTTGTTGCTGAAAATTATTGTTTTAATTATTAAATATAATATAATAATAATAAACCCTTTCCCTCGCATTTAGGCGTATAGGGCTAGACCTTTTTTTTTAGACCAATCGGCACAATATGGATGATGTGGTCAGCATCACGCAAGCCGCCTTTACTTTCCGGGACTGCACCCGGTACCCACTGAAGGCTGGGTCGACCTGGACTCGGGTCATTTTTGAAAAAAGTCCGGCTCCGCCAGGGACCTAACCCACGACCTTCCGATCCGCGGCTAGCGTCTTGCCGCTTCGCCAATTGTTCTAATTATTATTTTTCTTAATTATTGTTTTTCTTTACCTAGTTCTGCTGAGAATAAACATCATAACAGTAATTGTTAACGTTGAGTAGTTGTGCCGCCGAAAATATTGCTTTTTGTTTGGTTCTGCTGTCGATAATCATGGTTTGTGTTATTGTTTTTGTTATCCAACTTTCAAATTAACGACCATCGTTCTAGTTCTTTTTTCGTTTCGTCTTGTTCTGCAGTCGATAACCATCACTACACTTAGAGGGAAGGCAAGACGGACATATTACCAAATTGTGACCGGTACTATCAGTATTGGAACTGCGCTGGCTGCTGAAGATAAGGATGGAGCACGCATGGGAATGCCCAGTTTGCTGTGATGTAAATTCTTGACTCAACTCAACTCGATAATCATCATTACAGTTGTTTGCTGTCGTCTTCGTTGTTTAGTTCTGCTACTAAAAATAACTACCACTCCAGCCGTTTTTTTTTTTTTTTTTTGGGCCTAGTGTGCTGCTGTTATCTACAGTTCCATTTATTGTTTTCGTTTTCTGGTTCTTATATACACGACAATTTTTTGTTATTTGAAGCCCCACCCTGGCTTTTGTCAGGGGCCGCAATATAGACAGGCCATAAATATGGCCAATTGTCTTAACGCGGTTTCTGGGACCTCTTCACGGCGATCCTCATCCACATGGTGGCACTTTGTGTCATCGGGTGTTTATCGCTTGTGTGATGTCCTGGTGGGGTCGAAAGTCAGTCAGTCAGTCTAGTTTTCCATGGAGAACAATTGTTCGAGCTATTGTTTGCGTTTGTCTAGTTTTCTATAGATAACAATTGTTCGAATTATCATTTTTGTTCGTCTAGTCTTCTATGGATAACAATTGTTCGAGTTTTTGTTCGTCTAGTCTTCTACTGATAAACAGGGCTCTAGTTATTGTTTGTGCGGTAAATTACTCATGATTCTGGATGTCATTTCCTCTTGCTTGTTGCACGTCTCCCGCGTTTAGCAGCGTATAGTCGACTAGTTGTTGTGTTATTGTCACGATCTGTCGTTCAACGCTATGTTTACAGTCCTGTGGCGACAGATCATTCGATGTCACCAACTTCTGTTGTCACGTTTTTCGATCAAATGACATCGACTTTCCCCACACAGCTGACAGTTTTATATGAGTTTTCTTTTTTTTTTTTTTTTCTCTTTTTTTTTTCGTCAGTTTATCGCTGCAGTTGGCAGTTTACAAATGGTTTTTTTTTTTTTTAAATCGCTAGTTTGACCTTTTCCTGTGTCAGTGCTGAGCTGCCTTCTCAGAGCAGTTGTTATCAAGCGAATATCGACAGGTGGCTCTGTGACAGACTGTGTCGGGACAGCGTAGCTACAGGTGACGTCCTTGTGTTGTCAGCGGGTCAAGGTAATCGCTGTCAGAAGTGATGTCATTGGATGCAGGGGTGGGAAGTACCACAGGATGTCAGCAAATATATGCATCATCATAGTTATTATCGTCGTAGTGAACGTCATCGTCGTCATCAGGACTTTCTTAATCGCTTCCCTCCTCTTCTTCTTCTTCTTCCTCCTCCTCCTCCTACTACTACTACTACTGCTGCTGCTGTGACTGGTGGTGGTGCTGCTGCCACTGCTACTACTGCAGTTACTATTACTACTATTACTACTATTGTTATTACTACTACTACTACTACTACTACTACTACTACTACTACTACTACTACTACTACTACTACTACTACTACTACTACTACTACTACTACTACTACTACTACTACTACTACTACTACTACTACAGCTATTACTACTACTGCTATTGGTACTGCTGCTACTGCTACTACTATTATTTCAGAGCAGACCACTTGAAAGAATAGGTAAATATATAAAACCGAACGAAAAGTTGACCAGTGAGCTTCGCAATATAACAAACACAAACGGAAAGGGAACGTTGCGGCTACAGTGCCTTCGTCAGCACACTACATAAATCAAACAAAACCACACGAATACACACAACCCCTTAACTGACGTATTCCCGAAGCAGCCAGGTTTAAAACGATCTCGGAGACGAATATGTTTCATGCAAAACAATTTGTTAATTCCACCAAATTTTGTTACTGCTGCTGCTGTTGATACTATTACTAGTATACCTACTGCTGCTGCTACAGATATTACAAAACAAGTACTATATGTTTACTGCGCTGCTACAGATATTACAAAACAAGTACTATATGTTTACTGCTGCTGCTACAGATATTACAAAACAAGTACTATATGTTTACTGCTGCTGCTACAGATATTACAAAACAAGTACTATATGTTTACTGCGCTGCTACAGATATTACAAAACAAGTACTATATGTTTACTGCGCTGCTACAGATATTACAAAACAAGTACTATATGTTTACTGCTGCTGCTACAGATATTACAAAACAAGTACTATATGTTTACTGCTGCTGCTACAGATATTACAAAACAAGTACTATATGTTTACTGCTGCTGCTTCAGGTATTACAAAACAACTACTATATGTTTACTGCTGCTGCTGATACTGTTGATACTATTACTAGTATACCTACTGCTGCTGCTACAGATATTATAAAACAACTACTATATGTTTACTGCTGCTACTACAGATATTACAAAACAACTGCTATATGTTTACTGCTGCTGCTATAGATATTACAAAACAACTACTATATGTTAACTGCGCTGCTGCAGATATTACAAAACAAATACTATATGTTTACTGCGCTGCTACAGATATTACAAAACAAGTACTATATGTTTACTGCTGCTGCTACAGATATTACAAAACAAGTACTATATGTTTACTGCTGCTGCTACAGATATTACAAAACAAGTACTATATGTTTACTGCTGCTGCAACTAACTACTACTACTACGATACAATGTAACTATCGGTTTCAGACAGTTTTTACTCTATAAATGTCGCGTTTTATGAAGCTCGAATCATAAACTTGCTGAACAGAGTAGGAAACGACTGAGATTCAAATGGTGAATTAAGGACGATGCTGAAGGAAGAGGAGGAGGAGAAGAAGAAGAAGCAGTAGAAGAAGAAAAAGAAGAAAAAAAAAAAGAAGAAGAATCAAAGGAGGAGGAAGAAGAAGAGCACGAGGCAAAAGAAGATCCCCGTTTAGACTACCAGGAACCCATTGGGGGGGGGGGGGGGGGGGAATGAGACCCTATAAGGCCTGTCCTAAAATTCGAAAAATTAAGGTTGTTTTCTTTTAAGTTAGAGTACATCATCCTGAGAGGCGAGAAACCAACAGTCTGCATACAAATACGTCAGATCTGTGAAACATATGTCTATGCAAAAATCAAGTTATTGAGCAAGACTAAAGTCCAGATGTGGACGAACGGCGGATCTTTCCACCAGAGTTTCACAGACGTTGAGCGAGAAAAAGGGAGAAAGAAAAAGAAGCAAAGTTGACAAACGTAAGAACGACTAAAAAATAAATTAAAAAAACACGTTAAAAAACCAAACGTTTTCCAGGACGAATACCCATCTGGACGGTGACGTCATATCCGACTGTGCGAGACTTGTAAACAAAACTAACATTTCTGCAAGAAATCTTCCCTAGTTTGTTCGTCTTCAAACTCTTCTACAACAACCACAAAATAATCAACAAAAGACTAATAACAGCACACGCAATCCTTCCATTTCCCTTCTTTTAAACAGGACATTGCCAACATGCGCGCCGAATATGGACGGGGATATTATTGAAACAGATTCTGGTTTGTTCGTAGTTTTTGAATTTTCTTTTTGATTTTTTGCAATCTTTGCAACGGCGACCCTAGGGCCCGCAATCTATCGTAAGTTAACATTACTGTAAGTGTTGACCTCAGGAGACGTAATCCATTGTTTGTATAAATGCGCAACATACACATTTTTTTTTCTTAATATTTAACTCTTTGAGTGGCCCAAAGGGTGGTAATGTAACTTTTTTAAAAATTTCACAAGTGTAACAACAAACACATTAAAACAGACCAAACTAATTCACTTGCTGCACAACATACACATATTGTACATCAAAGTAACCAGGGATTGTTTAGGAATAATTATAGAATACTGCTACAACAAATAATTGGGCTATCCTCCGAATAGCGGCCACATATAATGGCAACCAAAAACAGGGTCTCAGTCACATTAAATTGCAGACTTCTGGCGACTTAAATTGTGGACTTCCGGCGACTACCGCCACCACCAAGAATATCTCCTGCGCTGCTTCACGTGGCACAGAGCAGGGCTAAACTAGATGGCTGGGACTCACGAGCAGAGCTGAGGAGATGCGGAAGCTGCTGCTCGTGAGTTCCAGCCATCTAGTTTAGCCCTGCTCCAGGGCATAGCGGTGCGGGAGATATTCTCGGCGGTAGCGGTAGTTGCCGGAATATTGCAATTTAAGTCGCCAGAAGTCTGCAATTTACATGTGACTGAGGCCCTGTCAAGGTGTGTTTTTGGCCGCCATAATATATGACCGTTATTCAGAGGATAGCCAATAATTGTGTTAGTAATTAAATATTTGTAAATAAACAGACTGTATGTTTACATAAATTAGTAAAATATAATTTTTAAAATTTCCACTAACCACCATGGCACTCAGTGAAACTCGTTAAAATATATCCAAAATGAATATGCACCATTTAATAATGTATAGGTAAATTAAAAACTTAACCTGTCCATAAGATTTTGTTCCAGAAAATCTTTTGAAGCATCATAACAGAGCACCATTATTTGGTAAAGAAAACTGACTTCCCAAAACAATAAGTATCTTCACACAAAGGGCAGTTTATATAACACTCACTTTGCTTGTAATTTTGTAGCTGTGTTCCTAAATAATAAGGGGAATAGCTCCAGAACTAACTGACACCAAAGAAAATCGTCTTTTCGCTAATGTTTTTTCCATTCCTACCAGCTGACTTTGCTATTGTTGTACCCTTCACGTAAAATACACATTAGACATATCCCTTATCAAAGTTTGACTCTACAAATGATTGAAACATGCCTACTTTGCAACGTTATCTATCTTACTTCGGATAAATCTAATAAGTGTTTTATTTTAAAATTTGAGACTTCTTCTGCCGTAAATCATGTTGACATGCATGTAGAATACTGCTCAGCTACCATATTCTGTTCAAACAAACACTTAGCAACTCGGCAAACCTCGCATTTATACTATATTTTTGGCTTTCAAACCACATTTCTAAATGAGCGCGCCTGATATCAGACACAAAGAACTCAGAAGGAAGTTGGATTTGAGCGGTCCACATTTTATTACCGGTCAGTTGTAAATTGAAAACCTTTACTTGTAACATTCAGTTTAGGCCGCTCGACTGACTGACTTTCTACCCCACCAGGACATCACACAAGCGATAAACATCTGATGACACAAGTGCCACCATGTGGGTGATGATCACCGTGGAGAGGTCCCAGAAACCGCGTTCAGCCATTGGGCCATAATTATGGCCGGGCTATATTGCGGCCCCAGCATGAGCATGAGCCAGAGTAGGGCTTCAAATAACGAAAAATTGCATCCCAAAAAAAGAACGGCATGACTGACTGACTTTCTACCCCACTAGGACATCACACAAGCGATAAACACCCGATGACACGATGTGCCACCATGTGGATGACGATCAGCCGTGGAGAGGTCCCAGAAACCGCGTTCAGCCATTAGGCCACTTTTATGGCCGGGCTATATTGTGGCCCCTGGCATGAGCCAGAGTAGGGCTTCGAATAAAGAAAAATTGCATCCTAAAAAGGACGGCAAGTGTAGGTATAAAGGACGGCATGAATTGCTGCTGTTTTAAGGCCGCTCGATTAGACTGCTCAATTGTAACCAGTTAGCGCGTGATGCGTTTCCTTTGACTCAAAGAGGTAATATTGCTTAAGATTAGTGTTAGGGCTAGAGTTAGGACTAACCGTAACCCAAGCACTGATCCTAAATAAAACCCTTACTTTAACCCTAATCTAAGAAACATTAAATATGAAAAAGTATTGTCATTACGTAAATTTACACAAACAATGGATTGTCTCCCTTGTTTCGCAGTAAACAACCATCAATTGCATCCCCTAGGAGAGGACGTTTGGCGTTGCAAAGATTGTCAGATTTTCAGTTTTCTGAAAACTGAAATACTGAAATTGGTTGTATTGAATGTTGATATTAAAATGCACAGGATCACAGCTTAGTTGTAAACCACAACACAGCATGGTTTTAAAGATCAAATGCCTGTAGAGGGGCTTCAGTGGTTGACCTTAGGAACTTAAACATATTCCAATCACCTGAGTCGTGTCACTCAAGTCATATATATATATATATATATATATATATATATATATATATATATATATATATATATATATATATATATATATATATATATATATATATATATATATATATATAGACACACACACCACAAACATATCACACACACACCTCTGAACTCAGCTGCACGAGCAATTTGACTTAGATAGTTATAGTGAGTGAGTGAGTGTGTGAGTTTTCTTTTTCTCCTAAGTGTTCACTGGCTGTTAAGTCCGGCTGAAAGTTCTGGTTGTTTATCCACTTCTGAGCTGTGGTCTTGTTTTGCATGCACATTTGTTTTACATATCTGGCTTATGTGTATGCAGACTGTTAGTTCTTTGCCTCTCAGATAGATGCACTCCGACTTAAAAGGGAAACACTCCTAATTAGTCACCTTTTATGACATGTTTGTTCGGGGATATATAGGTCTGATGGGACCCTCCCCCTCCCCTTTTTTTTTGCCCAACCCAAAAATTAGGGCCCAGAGCACATATGGGGAAGTGAGACAGAGAGAAAGAGTTTATTTAGTCTGCCTGGGTGTGAAGTTAGAGAGTGAGTGTTTAGTGTGAAAGAGAGTAGTTTGTGAAAGGGAATGTGGGTTTTAAAGTGTTAGTGAGATTGCCTGAATGAGGAGGTGGGTATGACTGACTAGAAGAGTGAATGAGAAAGTCAGTTTGGCTGTGAACCTCTTTTAAATACAGTGAAAAGAGGGAAGATGTAATAAGATCTAACAGCCTCTCAGAAACAAAACTACAGGGCTGAGTAGATTGGAAGAGAAGAGGCAGACCAAGAAAGACCTGGATACAGAACTTGACTAACCGGACAGGTCTTAGTCGGGCATCCGTGAAGTTCATCGTATCTGATCGTCAAAGGTGGAGAGAGCTAGCTGATCAGACAGACAGCAGCTACTGGTGACCCGAAGATGAAGATGATGATGAGAAAGTATGAGTGAATAGAGTGTGCTCATTATTCTGAAGTATGCCCATTTAAACATATTTTTAATGTTTATTTAAAATTTAAAAATTTTATAGGTCAAGAGGCGACTGAAGTGGTCAAGAAGAGACATATTATCTCAGTGCCCTATATTCAACAGTGCTACTCCTGGGACTGTGGTCTGGCATGTGTGTCCATGATACTCAGGTTATTCACCACTTTTGTATCATGTTTTGTATTCAGAATGAATAATTCCTATCAGTTTTGAATGCGTTGTAGAATATGTGTTTGGATAATTCTTCTTCTACTTCGCCTTTACTGGCTGTAAACTCTCTCAGAAAGTTCTGGGTACTTGTCCACTTCTAGACTGTAGTATTATTTGAGAACTTGAGTTTTGTGTGCACATCCGTTTTACTGATCTGACTTATTTGTATGCAGACCTTTGGTTTCATTCCTTTCAGGCAGATAAACTCTGACTTAAAAGAAAGCCTCCAATTAGTTGACTCTTTCGACACCTTGTTGGGGGTCTATTTTTTTTTCTCATAGTGCCTGAAACCAACACAGGGAGTTTGAATCATTCATATCATGTCTTATGTTTGATGGATGCCACATCCCATGTTGAGATTAACTCTTTCACCCCGGGAAGGCAAAAATGAAGTGGGCCATGCACCCATGGGAATTCATGGGAAAGTCCTTAAAAAGCTATGTAACAAAGGTGACTAATAATTTAAGAAAATAATAATAATAATTATTTATCTTCATAAGAATTTTTCTTAAAAATATATAATTATATATAAAGGGAGTCATCAATAAACATTAACAGAGTTAAGCATGTATTGGAATACATTCCCTTGGGCCAAAAAATATTTTTAGACTCATGCAATGACCTCAATCACTGAGGCTACAGGAAAATTATCATGTTAGCATGGCTTTAAAAAATCCATTGCATCACTGGAAAGTCTAAAATGGTATTTTTAGTAAATTTAACCAGAAACAGGTCTCCCAGACATTGCGCAGGCACGAAAAGAACCAGCAACAGTAATCTGTGCAGCTCGGAAACAGCTCAGTCAAGACATGCCAGTGTCATAACTTTAGGGGAATGTGGAAATGCCGGGTTTGCAGCTTTCTGTGGTGACAGGGTTATTGAATCTCACTCCCATGTTGTGTTTGATTGGTCCCATATTCCATCTTGCTTTATATATATCGATTTTGTGTGGTGCTTAAGAAATCTTATTCCCATTCCTGTATGAAATACCAGGAAATGAGGAGCCTGACACATTGGCCAAAGAAGTCGCTGGGCTCAAAAAACAGGCATTCCAGTTACAAAATATCAAAAGAAAAAACATCTTTTAAAGACACTCATACGTTCTCCCATGTCGGTTTCTCATTACTCGGGGAGAAGGAATAGATCCTCTGTCTTCTCAAGAATGGTGCCATAAAATACTAAATAGGGGTTTATACTTTGAAGTAAGAGTACTTCTGCCCGAGAGGCAAGGAACGGACAATCTGCATACAGATAAGTGAGATCTGTAAAATGGATGTGCATGCAACATAATAATATCATGAAATGGGCAAACAGGGGGCTCCGAGAGTTAACATCCAAGGCAAAAGATAGGCCATGTTAGAGATCCATTGGAGTTAGTCTTCATTGTGGACATACATACAAGTGATTGACTGAAATAACTTTCTGCAGTAAACTTTTTGATATCTATAGTCAGTCAGTGTAGGCAGGGTGATTGTGTGTGTGTTTATATCTGAGATGTTTCCCTGGGTTGGTTGTGTGTATGTATGTCTGGGCATGAATCTGAAATGCTACTGGGAGTTGCTTGTGTGTGTGTGTTTGTGTGTCTATGTGGGCATTAATCTGAGATGTTACTATGAGTTGCTTGTTTTTTTTTGTAATCCAAATGTTATTGTATGTTGTGTGGGCATATTTCTGAGTTGTTATTGTGAGTTGATTTGTGTGTATGTTGATTTGTGTGTGTGTGCGTGCGCATGCGTGCATGCATGCATGTATGTGTGTGTGCGTGCGCGCATTCACGTACATGTACACATCTGGAATGTTACTGTAAAGTGTTTGTATGGATGGATGTAAATATGAGGTTTTCTGAGTTGACTGTATGTGTGAATTTGGGATATTACTGTAAATTGTTTGTATGGATGGATGTAAATATGAGGTTTTGTGAGTTGACTGTATGTGTGAATTTGGGATATTACTGTAAATTGTTTGTATGGATGGATGTAAATATGAGGTTTTGTGAGTTGACTGTATGTGTGAATCTGAGATGTTACTGTGAGATGGCTGTGTGGGGAGTGACATCCAGATAAAGGATGTTCTGCTGTTTCAGGATGTTTGGTGAGCCCTGTGATGATGTGTACACTAAAGACTTGGATTCCCTGCAGTGTGGAGAGAGGTCTTGTTGTTTCTTATGTTTATTGATATGTTATAACTTCTGCTTGGCTGAATGTTATAACTTGTACTTGACTGAATTTATCAAAGTGTTATAACTTCTGCTTGACTGAATGTTATAACTTGTACTTGACTGAATTTATCAAAGTGTTATAACTTCTGCTTGACTGAATGTTATAACTTGTACTTGACTGAATTTATCAAAGTGTTATAACTTCTGCTTGACTGAATGTTATAACTTGTACTTGACTGAATTTATCAAAGTGTTATAACTTCTGCTTGACTGAATGTTATAACTTGTACTTGACTGAATTTATCAAAATGTTATAACTTCTGCTTGACTGAATGTTATAACTTGTACTTGACTGAATTTATCAAAGTGTTATAACTTCTGCTTGACTGAATGTTATAACTTGTACTTGACTGAATTTATCAAAATGTTAAAACTTCTGCTTGACTGAATGTTATAACTTGTACTTGACTGAATTTATCAAAGTGTTATAACTTCTGCTTGACTGAATGTTATAACTTGTACTTGACTGAATTTATCAAAATGTTATAACTTCTGCTTGACTGAATGTTATAACTTGTACTTGACTGAATTTATCAAAGTGTTATAACTTCTGCTTGACTGAATGTTATAACTTGTACTTGACTGAATTTATCAAAATGTTAAAACTTCTGCTTGACTGAATGTTATAACTTGTACTTGACTGAATTTATCAAAATGTTAAAACTTCTGCTTGACTGAATGTTATAACTTGTACTTGACTGAATTTATCAAAGTGTTATAACTTCTGCTTGACTGACTGTTATAACTTGTACTTGACTGAATTTATCAAAATGTTATAACTTCTGCTTGACTGAATGTTATAACTTGTACTTGACTGAATTTATCAAAGTGTTATAACTTCTGCTTGACTGAATGTTATAACTTGTACTTGACTGAATTTATCAAAATGTTATAACTTCTGCTTGACTAAATGTTATAACTTGTACTTGACTGAATTTATCAAAGTGTTATAACTTCTGCTTGGCTGAATGTTATAACTTGTACTTGACTGAATTTATCAAAGTGTTATAACTTCTGCTTGACTAAATGTTATAACTTGTACTTGACTGAATTTATCAAAATGTTAAAACTTCTGCTTGACTAAATGTTATAACTTGTACTTGACTGAATTTATCAAAATGTTATAACTTCTGCTTGACTAAATGTTATAACTTGTACTTGACTGAATTTATCAAAGTGTTATAACTTCTGCTTGACTAAATGTTATAACTTGTACTTGACTGAATTTATCAAAGTGTTATAACTTCTGCTTTCCTGAATGTTATAAGCTGCAACTGACTGATTGTATTGAAATGTTACAACCTGTACCTAACTGAACTTTTCATTGACTGAATGCATAGAAATGTTTAACATCTTCTTGACTGAATATTATATCTTGTACTTAACTTAATGTATTAAAATGTTATAACTTCTATCTGACTACTAGATGTGAAATTCATGATTGAATGGAAGTTAGAAATGCAATGAGAGAGCAGACACCCTGGGTGGCAGTGCAACTATCAGGAATGGGCCACCTATGGACAGGAGAGACATCAACAGTGCCATACTGTGAGGCTTTCAATTTTGCGGAAAATATTTTTCACTGAATAGACTGCATAGCCTGGGTGTACCAGTTGGAGCCGCTAGACAGGAAAACCACGCGTGAGTCGCCCGTGGTTACATCAGCCAGAACAGAATGGGAGTTTTCAGCCTAAAAACACTTGGAGACATACTTAGGAGCAGATCTGAGCACTTATGGTTGTCTGATGAAGATGTTCTGTAAAATGAACAAAGAACAATAAGAACTTCTTGCCTTGTCATGTATGAATTCACCACCCGGTGGTGCAGATCCAGCCAATCTGTCTGCCTGTTTATTACCCACTATGCCGGCATGGCCTGGAGAAATTATCCAAAGTATGCTCACTATCCGTGACCTTCCCAGTGAAGCTTGCCACTCTGCTCAAAGTATCACTGTCTTCACCTTTCTCATTATTAACATGACACCTCTTATTGGTTGTTTTCATATAACATATGACATTTATAGGTCAGTTGTTGACACTTAGAATAGTACTGTCAGCAACTTTCCGACTAACCAGTCCAGTAGATAGTGTTATATTTTGTGGAATCACAAGCCAAGGCGATGGTAAGTGCGACTAATAAAACCCGTGCACATTAACTCTTTGAGTCCCACTGGGTTTATCATCACAGGCCTAATGAGTAGTAAAGAGACATAAAATCGGCGCATCATGCATTAATTGGGCTTCTAGGTAGGAATCTGTGAACACAGAATGTGTTCTTTGGGATTCAAAGAGTTAAGAAAAGTCTACCACAATTATAGCATGGGATTTCAAGGCGTGCTATTGTCATCACATGTATTTAGTATGCCTCTTCTCAGGCGCTCACCTCTTTCTGCAGTCATTTTTTTTAAAACTTTATTTTCTGTGTAATCTTGCTGATTTCCTGCCTTTTCCTTACCATCATATTCTTATTAAATATGAACTACATATTGTTGATATGTTTTGTATAACATCCATACTGTCGTCAGCCTGTTTAAGTAGGCCAGTATCCTGTCATAGTGACTCACAATAGTGTAGTGCATAGAACATCTTGGGCTCGAATCTGCACCTGGTGAATTTGGAAAAGACATTGACTTTGACTGCCAAGGTAACTCTGCCTACAATGGGTATCACAAAATTATGTGGGAGGTAAAGGCAGCCGCTTTAATATTGACCACATTACCCATCGAGTGCTGATTTGCTCTATAGAAATATTAGTCTAGCATCATTTACCTAGTTTGTTACTGATTCGAATAGGGTCTTATACTTTTTAACTTCTATTTACTGTCACTAGAGAGTATGGCATAAATCTAGAAAAGACAATTCTAGAAAAGATATAATTCTAGAAAAGACGTAATTCTAGAAAAGCGTAATAGTTCCACATATTTTTTGGGTCTTGTATTCAAATTCCTTTGCAGTTATGACGAAGGCTTATGAAAGCAGGTTGAACTCTTGTCTCCGCAAGGTCACTAACAATACTATATGAGACAGGGTTATAAATACCAGCATTAGAGAGAAAATTGGAATAAGACCATGCCTAGATTATATTTTCAGACAAAGAATGAAATGGTTCAGCCATCTAATAAGAATGCAGCCAGACAAGACTGACTTTTTACAGAGTAACATCTGAGAGGAAGGCGAGAGGAAGACCAAGAAAGACATGGATAAATGGTGTAGCTGCATCTGCAAAAAAGATAAGCAAACGCATCGCTCAAGCCACCCCTGAAGCGCAAGACAAATACAGAAAACCACGACACTACAACCTTGTATCAGTGAGACGACACAAGGAGAAAAACAATATCAAAACTTTTTTCTCTGAAAATCAAACCAGTTCAAGTTGATTGTGAGAATGCATCTTCTTATACAATTTTTCTCAGTCTGTATATTTTCTCTTTGGCAGTGTTTGGACCATAGATTTGGCCTATATTCTCAGCCGACACAATGTCCGGTCATGCCTGTACACAGTCACTTTGGGTGTCAATGCTGACCACTTCAACAAGGCAAGTCAATCGAATGTATGCTCTGTGCTGGTCTTTCTAGTTTTCTATGCTCACAAAAAAAACCCAAAAAACTTTGTTCTTTAAAAAAAATAAATACTGGAGAGTATGAGAACAGCTTTCACGGTCTCCTACTTGGTAAAAGAAAACGCTCAATCACACAGTGAAGATCAGTGGTTCTCAACCTGTGGGTTGTGACCCCCATAGGGGGTCAAACGACCCTTTCATAGGGGTTGGCTTAGACAATCAGAAAACACATATTCACTAAAGTTGTGGAGTAGCAATCACAATAATTTTACGACTGGGGGTCACCACATTTCTTAGATGAGGTATTGTTTTGTTACTGTTTGTTTTAACAATTGTTTGAATCAGCTAATGTAACTAAGGGATTATGACTGTGGTTTCATAATTCTGAAATTCGGACTTGATGCAGCTGCTGGCAGTTTGGCAGCAGACTGCTTGCTTTATGATGATTTCAACAGTGTTTTGGGTGTCATTTAGGTTTTAATGGCAAACTACTGCATGTAAAATTCTTTAACAGAAGCAGCTATCAGATTCTGGGGTTAGTTTGCTGTGTCCTGTAAAAGATGTGTAACTAATTGACTTTCCATTTTGTGCAGCTCTTCTACCAGAAACATTTCTCCGTGGATGAAATCCGCGTCAATGACATGTTCAGCAAGGCTTCACAGAATGGTGTTCTTGTCCAAAAGAGGTAGATTTGTCTTCACTTTCTTCATTCTTTTGTTTGGTCATGGTGATTTGGTGGTGTAGTGATGGCAGCCCTGCCCACTGTTGGCACTGATATAGATCAGTGCTGAGTCATTCTGTTGATTGTGCCTTGGCTACATGAACTCTGACCTTGGGAATGCGCAGAATGAATAATTATGGAGCTCTAAATTGTACAATTCCCTGTATGGGCTCCGGGCTCCATTGTTTGGAAGGGGTTGGGAAGGGGGGGGGGGGAAGGATGGAAATTCACCTACTGCCCCCAACATGCATGTCGCACGAGTTAATTAATTAGGGATGTTTCCTTGGAAGTCAGAGTGCATCTGCCTGAGAGGCGAGGAGCCAACAGTCTGCACTCAGATAAGCTAAATCTTTAAAATGGATGCGCAGGCAAAACTCATGTTCTGGAACAAGACTAAAGTCCAGAAGTGGATGAACACCCAGAACTTTCCACCGGAGTTTACAGTTGCTGAATTTGAAGAAGAAGAGGACATTTAGAGTTTTAAGAAAAATGTATGTAATTTCAATTCTAATGTTATTTTATTTTGTAACATATGCTAATGAAAGTTGTGACAGTGATTGTAAGTGCATATTTGCTAGGAATAAAAGTGTATGTGTGTTTCTACATGTAGAAGGTATAGAAGTGTGTGTGAGGCCAAATGTACTAGGTATAGAAGTGTGTGTGAGGCCAAATGTACTTGGTATAGAAGTGTGTGTGAGGCCAAATGTACTAAGTATAGAAGTGTGTGTTAGGCCAAATGTACTAGGTATAGAAGTGTGTGTGAGGCCAAATGTACTAGGTACAGAAGTGTGTGTGAGGCCAAATGTACTAGGTATAGAAGTGTGTGTTAGGCCAAATGTACTAAAGAAGAGTGTGTGAGGCCAAATGTACTAGGTACAGAAGTGTGTGTGAGGCCAAATGTACTAGGTATAGAAGTGTGTGTTAGGCCAAATGTACTAAAGAAGAGTGTGTGAGGCCAAATGTACTAGGTATAGAAGTGTGTGTGAGTCCAAATGTACTAGGTATAGAAGTGTGTGAGGCCAAATGTACTAGGTATAGAAGTGTGTGTGAGTCCAAATGTACTAGGTATAGAAGTGTGTGTGAGTCCAAATGTACTAGGTATAGAAGTGTGTGTGAGGCCAAATGTACTAGGTATAGAAGTGTGTGTGAGGCCAAATGTACTAGGTACAGAAGTGTGTGTGAGTCCAAATTTACTAGGTATAGAAGTGTGTGTGAGTCCAAATGTACTAGGTATAGAAGTGTGTGTGAGTCCAAATGTACTAGGTATAGAAGTGTGTGTGAGTCCAAATGTACTAGGTATAGAAGTGTGTGTGAGTCCAAATGTACTAGGTATAGAAGTGTGTGTGAGTCCAAATGTACTAGGTATAGAAGTGTGTGTGAGTCCAAATGTACTAGGTATAGAAGTGTGTGTGAGGCCAAATGTACTAGGTATAGAAGTGTGTGTGAGGCCACATTTCTAGGTATAGAAGTGTGTGTTAGGCCAAATGTACTAGGTATAGAAGTGTGTGTGAGGCCAAATTTACTAGGTATAGAAGTGTGTGTGAGGCCAAATGTACTAGGTATAGAAGTGTGTGTGAGGCCAAATATACTAGGTATACAAGTGTGTGTGAGGCCAAATATACTAGGTATAGAAGTGTGTGTGAGGCCAAATATACTAGGTATAGAAGTGTGTGTGAGGCCAAATTTACTAGGTATAGAAGTGTGTGTTAGGCCAAATTTGCTAGGTATAGAAGTGTGTGTTAGGCCAAATGTACTAGGTATAGAAGTTTGTGTGAGACCAAATTTACTAGGTATAGAAGTGTGTGTGAGGCCAAATGTACTAGGTATAGAAGTGTGTGTGAGGCCAGATTTATTAGGTATAGAAGTGTGCGTGAGGCCACATTTACATTTGTGAGGCCAAAAAAGGAATGAAGCCAAAAGTTCATAGAATAATATACTATATGTAAGGCCAAATGTGCAAGGAGGAACAGTGTATGCATATGTGGACAAGTAGACGTGTCTCAGACTGTCTTCCTGTTGACATTGCAGAAGTCTGTCCATAGATGAGCTGATCCAGCACTTGCAGGACAACAACCCCATCATCTCACTTGTAGACTGGACACTGATGAACTGCTTGTGGTGTGATAGTAAGGTGGGTTCTTCTCATTCTCTCTCTCTCTCTCTCTCTCTCTCTCTCTCTCTCTCTCTCTCTCTCTCTCTCTCTCTCTCTCTCTCTCTCTCTCTCTCTCTCTCTCTCTCTCTCTTTGACTCGCACACACACAGTTATACACACATGCAGGTCTGCACACACACACACATACACCCTTTTCAGAGTTTCAGAATTCCTATCCGCATCCCAATACTCGCACCTGTCATCTACTCCTCTTTTTCTCTCATCTTGTCACTCACATGATGGATAGAGACATGGAACGAAAGCTTTTTGTCTAGGAAAAAGTTAATGGTACTCACCGCTAGGAGTGTGGGTTCCAGGACCCCACTGTAGGGAAAACAAGATTAGATCCACTGCCTCCCCAACAAGCATGTCCTAGGAGCCAACTAACTGAGAGCTTCCTTCAAAGTTGGATTACATTTACCTGAGAGGCAAGGAACCAACAGACTGCATACACATAAGTTATGAATAACCCAAATTTTCTGCCAGAGTTTACAGCCAGTCAGCGTGAAGAAGGAGACTACACTGAGTCTAACAAAGGTGCTGGTACTAACCACAAAGTGTATGTGACAGTAATACTGAATAAAGGAGGCCTGAAAAAGGGTGCCAGTACTGCGTACCATTGCGTACCACCAGGGAAAAAAAGCACTGCATGGGACCATTCTCAGAATTTCAAAAAGCACAGCCCATGTCTCACTAGTCATACACATCAGACCCTTGTACAGTTCTGACAGAAGTATTTAGTTCCAGCTGTTCTTATTATTACGGTGTTCAGTTTCCCCATGTGGGTTTCAGGTCCCCATTCTGGGCTGGGGAAGAAAGGCTCACTGCCCCTTGTAATTACATTTCATAAAAGGTAAAAAATTAGGGGTTTGCTGAAGTAGAATGTTTTTGGGCTTGAAGGTTCGGATGTCCTAGTCTAGTGTAAACCACAATACAGTGTGCCGGCTGCCTTTTGAGAGCTTCACACAAACACATTGTAGTTACTTGTATGTCTGGCCTCCTACACACATTTGTATTCCTACAGGAAACGGTGAAGTTGTTCAGGGTTTATCTTTTGTTGTTATGACCAGATGTTTCTTGCTGTTTATCTGTTGTTGTAATGAACAGATGTTTCTTGCTGTTTATCTATTGTTGTAATGACCAGATGTTTCTTGCTGTTTATCTGTTGTTGTAATGAACAGATGTTTCTTGCTGTTTATCTATTGTTGTAATGACCAGATTTTTCTTGCTGTTTATCTGTTGTTGTAATGACCAGATGTTTCTTGCTGTTTATCTATTGTTGTAATGACCAGATGTTTCTTGCTGTTTATCTATTGTTGTAATGACCAGATGTTTCTTGCTGTTTATCTATTGTTGTAATGATCTGATGGTCAATTCTTCCTGCCATTTTGCATTTTAGGTGAGAAAATGCTGGTCATGCATCACTTGTAACCAAGGACCTTATCAGGGTAGGTAGGCTGCTCTCTCAGTTATTCTGTCCAAACAGTTTGCTTCTGCTGTCTCTGTCACCATGTCGTCTGTCACAAACACAGTTCAGTCCTACCGTCACCGTCACCATTGTGTTGTTCCTTCACTTTTAAGTCATCCTTTCTCACACCCTGGTGTTGTTTTACTAGTTTGATCCCATCCTCCCTCTCACTATTGCATTGATCCCTGCTGTCTCTAATCATTGTACCATCAGTTTGATCCCGTCCTCTCTCTCACTATTGCATTGATCCCTGCTGTCTCTAATCATTGTATTTTACCACCAGTTTGATCCTGTCCTTTCTCTCACTATTGCATTGATCCCTGCCTCTCTCTCTCTCTATTGCATTGATCCCTGCCTCTCTCTCTCTCTCTCTCTCTCTCTCTCTCTCTCTCTCTCTCTCTCTCTCTCTCTCTCTCTCTCTCTCTCTCTATTGCATTGATCCCTGCTGTCTGAATCATTGTATTGTACCATCAGTTTGATCCTGTCCTTTCTCTCACTATTGCATTGATCCCTGCCTCTCTCTCTCTCTCTATTGCATTGATCCCTGCTGTCTCTAATCATTGTATTGTACCATCAGTTTGATCCTGTCCTTTCTCTCACTATTGCATTGATCCCTGCCTCCCTCTCTCTCTATTGCATTGATCCCTGCTGTCTGAATCATTGTATTGTACCATCAGTTTGATCCTGTCCTTTCTCTCACTATTGCATTGATCCCTGCCTCTCTCTCTCTCTCTCTATTGCATTGATCCCTGCTGTCTCTAATCATTGTATTGTACCATCAGTTTGATCCCGTCCTCTCTCTCACCATTGCATTGATCCTTGCTGTCTTTAATCATTGTATTGTACCACCAGTTTGATCCCACCTTCTCTCTCACTATTTTGTTGTTTTACTAGTTTGATTCCATCCTTTTCTCTTACTATTATGTTGTTCCACCAGTGCCAGCATATTTTCCACCACAAATTTATTCCACCTTCTCTATTGCTATCATATTGAAAAAGTAAAGTAAACAAAAGTAAAGATCCGTTTTCACACCTTTGGGCGTATCAGGTATATTGGAAGAGCACCCATATTTTTACAAACCATCGGCACTAGGTAGATAATGTGGTCAGCTTATGCCGGCCATCTTTACTTTCCCAGGACAGCCATCCTGGTAGCCATTTTAGGTTAGGTCGACCTGTGTCGCACTATACCATGATAAAAATCCACGCAGCCAGCAGTGGGTTTCGACCGCGGTACGTTGGAATTACGAGTCAGACTCGCAACGCCTAGGCCATGGACACCGCATTGCTATCATATCGTTCACCACAAATCTATTCCACTTTCTCTATCACCATAATGTGTTGTCCCCCACAAATTTATTCAACTTTCTCTGTCGCCGCCATGTCCTCCACAAATTTATTCAATTTTTTCTGTTGCTGTCATGTTGCCCACCACAAATTGATTCCACTTTCTCTGTTGTCATCATGTCGTCCACCACAAATTTATTCCACTTTCTCTGTCGCCATCATGTCCACCACCAATTTATTCCGCTTTCTCTGTAGCCATCATGTTGTCCACTACAAATTAATTCCATCTTCTTTATCAGCATTATCTTCTTTGAACACAAGCAAAATTTGATCCCCCCTTCTGTGTTGTTATTATGACTGCCCCCGTGTGTGTTCTAGTCCCTGACGGATAGGAAAATAGACCAACTGCCTCCCAACAAGCATGTTGTAAAAAGCGACAAATTAAGGGTTTTCCCTTTAAGTCCGAGTGCATCTGCCTGCGGGGTGAGGAACCAATAGTCTGCATGCAAGTAAATCAAATCTGTAAAATGGATTCACATGCAAATCCCAAATTCTGGAACAAAACTAAAGTCCAGAAGTAAGCAAACAACCAGAACGTTTAACCGGAGCTTACAGCAAGCCAAGAGGTAGAAGAAGATTATCATGACTGACACAAAGAATTTATAAATGTTAACTGTCTTTCTCTATAAACCTCATCCCTTAGGTCACTTTGTTGTGGTTGTGGGCTATGACAAACAGAAAGATTTGATATTCTACACAAATCCAGATGGCAGAAATCATGGTAGGTGTCCTTAAAACATCTTCGTCACACGGTAGTTTACTCAGGGGCCAAGATCGGTGCTTAATTACCCCAGATGATGTTGCAGGACAGTCCAACATTTTCGGGGGTTGTAAGACTGGGTTTCTTGGCTTTCTTTTGCTTTTAACGACCCTAAAACATCTATAACTGGCCCTAACCCCAACCCACCTATGACCCACGAAAGAGTGCAGCCTAGGTCCCACGACTGCATGCAGCCTATCTACCACCCCCTCAAGTAGACTGTCCCGTTACCTGTGGATTTCCCCTGTTTGGGGTAGGATATTAATAAAGCACCCCAAAATGATGGGAAATGGGGATCACCATGGGCCAGAGACCCGAGCCTCAGTGTAGAAAGATCTTTAATACAAAAGAGTTGGCAGGTTTTCCACAGGCGATTGTCTAGGTCTCTGCAGAATAACCGCGGTTTACACGGATGCATTTCTATTTAAAATGGATGATGCTCTGCCATTCAAGGCATATACCAAAAGAAAAAAGGGCCTTAGAGCAAGAGGAATACCAAAGACAAGATGGAAGGATAGCACCAGAGAAACTCTACAGCACCACGATGTGTCTTTGGTCGAAGCAGCCAGAAAAGCACGAAGCAGGACCTTATATCTCCCTCGACACCGGAAGTGGTAAAAGAGGACGTAATGAAGAAGAAGAATGGATGATGCTGTATTCTGCACCAGGGATGTACCTAGGATTTTTGGCCCTCGTGATTTGGGGAGGTGGGGGAAATGACTGTTAAAAAGTATACGGTCTATGGCAGACTTTTGAGAATAAGAAGGGTTTGCTGATCTTAGCTACGTGGGAATATAGTGGCTGTGTTTTGGAGGGAAGCTCACAGCCATAACCAGCCAGTCAGAAAGCCTGTACAAGATACATGCGACATGGAATACTCGTGTTTGAGGAGACCAGTGAGGATGACAGAGATGTGATCTCATGGTCAGTTGTGATGACCGTGTGGATAAGCTGACTGAAAAAGCTGATGCAGCGTGAGCAGATGGCATGTGGTGTACATAAGTACGGAGCAGACCCAGATCAACGAGCCTGGGATGAGCATCATTGCAGGGAACCGCTTATCCACACTGATATCTTTGGTACTGCACCTAAGTTATCTTAATGCAATTTTTGTGAATTTCACCAAAATGCTTATCATTGCTTTATTTGTTACCTTACAGCACATAAATTCCTACTCCAAATAGGTCAATATTAATTATTACTTTTCACGCAAATGCACAATTTTTGTTAGCCGTAATGTGATTTTTTTGTTTTTTCAGAGAGATCCAAGTGTTTGAACACAATTTTTGTTAGCCGTAATGTGATTTTTTTTTAGAGAGATCTAAGTGTTTGAACACAATTTTTCTGTGTGTGTGTGGGTTCTGGGACTGGAGAGGAAAGAATAGACCCACTGCCTCCCTGTCAAGCATGTCGTAATAAAAGTCGACTAATTAAGGGTTTCCTTTTAAATCAGAGTACATCTGCCTGAGAGTCAAGCCACCAACTGTCTGTATACAAATAAGCCAGATATGTAAAATGGATGTGCATGCAAAACTCAAGTTCTGGAACAAGGTTAAAGGTCCAGCAGTCGACGAACAACTAGACATTTCCTCAGGAGTTTACATTAGGTGAATCCTTAGAAGAAGAAGACATGATTTTCCCAAAACAGATTTAACATTCTGTTGACTTTGCTGTAATGCCAATGATATATCTTCACAGGGTTGATGCTACAGTGTACACTGTACACTGATTGATTATAGAAAACATCACTTTGAATAACAGATGCATTTGATTCTAGAAAACATCACTTTGAATAACAGATGCGTTTGATTCTAGAAAACATCACTTTGAATAACAGGTGTGTTTGATTCTAGAAAACATCACTTTGAACTACAAGTGTGTTTGGTTCTAGAAAACATCACTTTGGATAACAAGTGTGTTTGGTTCTAGAAAACATCACTTTGAATTACAAGTGTGTTTGGTTCTAGAAAACATCACTTTGAATTACAAGTGTGTTTGGTTCTAGAAAACATAACTTTGGATCACAAGTGTGTTTGGTTCTAGTGTGGCGGGTAACTTCGCTTTAACTAGCGAATGCACTATGTGCACTTTACAGAGGAAATTACAAACAGTGAGTCATCATATAGTCTTATAGTAACCCCAGCCTTGCTGGTTAAATGAGAGGATTCGGGGTTTGCCCACATCTTATTCCCTGCTGTAATTAAGATTGTATATTTAAATGTTCTTAAGTTCACTGACAATGTTTACAGTTAAAATGAAACTTCATAAAACTGTAGGAACATTAAAACTAACATTTATTCAGCATTGGATATCAAAATAATAAACAAAATGGCTGTGGATATAGAATCCTGTTATTCAAGGTAGGTTAGTTAAATCTTAGCTGTAACTTAGGTTTCTGTTGTCAGCTTCTGACTAAGCTTCGGAAACACATCAGGCAGGCCGAATCTTCCAGTCCAGTCCGGACAATCGGGTATCTGCAGCTAAGCTTAGGATCTACTTCTGGACTACCATCTGGAATACAATCTGGAACCCTGGCAGGGAATTCAAACAGAAAATTGGACCACAGGCAGACTAACAACTTTAGGTCTGAACCGGTCAATTTCTGAATTGAAAAGGGAACAGGAAGTCAGGAGGAAGTAACTCTTCAGTCCCCCTTGCACTACTCTTCGCCTATATTACCTTTCAACTCTTTAATTATAATTTTGCTACAATGAAGCATTAAGAAAAAGGTAAGGAAATTTCTTAATTAATCCAGTGTTATTATGCTAATTAAAAGCAATAGGAAAATGTTTAGAACTTTGGTAATAATATTATCTAAACAAAGCACTTTTTAAAAGGACAGAAACAGCTGTCCAGACCAGCTCGTCACATATGCCCAACGAAGATAAGTTTGATATTTACATATCAAACTTAAACTGGCCTGGATACTGTTTCTGCTACCTACAATCCACCTGCTAAATTATCCCCTAATTAATCTGCTATGGGATCTCAATAGGAACAAAAAATTTCTCCTTAACAACTGACTGGGATTTGTAGCCCCGTCCCAGCGGATATGACCGACTGCGACTAACATACCAAAGTCTTTTCCCAGAGAAAGTCAAGGCGGACTGTCCGCTTCTCTGAATAGAAAAAATCTTAACAAAGAAAAGATGGCATGAGGGAAAGATCAGTTCAATGTTCACGATACCTGTCTGAGTGCGCCTTCTCCATGAAACCATCTGGGAAGATTTACATAGAAGAAAAGGTGAGCTCTGCTTACGACAGTATACAGAACCTGCAGACTCAACCGTAGACTGGGTCTTGTGGGTTTCATCTGAAGATGAAGTAAAGGAAGGGTTCTTCCTACTTTTGGCTGCACTGGCACAGACTGAAGTTTCTGGCCGGGTTGCAGAGGATTTGGCATAAGCCTTACCAGGTTTAGGATTGGGATCATTAATGGTCCTAACTAAACTGGCAAAAGACCTGAGCTTAATGAGTTTACTCTTTAAGGGGTTCTCAGTAGACCTAGTTAGCTTTTTAGCAGTCTGCCTAGCTATCGGTCTAGTCTTGGTGAAACACACAACTCTTTTCAGAAGAGGTGTCCACAAATGCTTTGGTTGGCTCATCTTGGATTGGACCAAGATGCGAGACTTTTGGTCTCTCATGACCTGCTTATTTGCAGTCGTCGGGTTGTCAAAGTTGTGCTTGCACTTGGATCTGAGGGGACACAACAACATACTCTGAGACCTCACTGGCTTATCAGAAGCCTGAGACTCATTACCTGGGTTGTCAAAGTTGTGCTGGCCCTTGATTCTGAGGGGACACAACAACATACCCTGAGATCTCAGTGGCTTATCAGAAGCATGAGACTCATTTTCTTGGTAGTCAAAGTTGTGCTGGCCCTTGATTCTGAGGGGACACAACAACATACCTTGAGACCTCAAGGACTTATCTAAGGCCTGAGACTCTTTTTCCCTAACTTGTAAGCAGGACTGAGATGCATTTTTGCTTCTCTCAGTAAACTCTAGGATATCACTCGACTTACTGGAAAAATCTATGTCTTTAACTAGCACATGACTTTCTACTGACTGCGTGTGAGAATAAGTAGTGGGAGCATGGACATAAACAGACTCCGCTTTACAAGATACTATCTGCAGCGTGGAGCTGAAGTCTTCTGTCTCGCCACCTACCTTCTTCAAAGTTTCCTTGCTGTGCAAGCTTCTAGACAAAATAATATTATCTAAAATGGGGTTGGTTTTGAGAATAGCACTTTTTATTTCTGCCAAGGAATGACCATCTTGACAGAAATCACCACCCTGAGTTAACTCAAGTTTTGTGGTAGCTAGCCCACTAGTGGTCACTGCAGCCGCAGGCTCACTAGCCATGATCTCTTGACAGCTGCCAAGGATCTCACATTCTCTACCAGGGTTTTCATTTCCAGATTCTGGTGGGGTAAGGGATCTTTCTTCAATTACTGATCCTAAGTGACTGATATTAGTACTTGGCAAGGCATTTTTGGCTGACATGGAAGTGTCTGGCTTTGGGGTTGTGAACATCCATAACTCTCGGGAAGGCTCGCCGGCAAAGGCTTTCTGGTTCCACTGAGCATGTTCAACCGCCTCTTTAAAACCTTTCGCTTGTGCGCGCTGTTCCATCTGGACACACTCCAGTTGCCACTCCCAATCTTCCTTGACCTTCTCTGCAACACACTCTAGCAGTTTAATACCTGTGAATTTGCAAGCCTGACCCATTTCTATACTTCTAAAAAAACCAATCTATAGAATCTACTTCCCTCCCTTGGACACCTACATTAGCTTCTAGTTGAGATTTGGCATTCAACAAATCAGAGACATATATATCTAGCTCAGCCCCACTCAAACCTGCCTCATGAGCAGCAAAGTCTGAGATGGTCTTGCCCAATAGAGAATGATATGCTGCCATCTCGGTTAAACTGTAGTGACCCTTACAAGGAGTTTGCAAATTATCACCTATGATTGCTGTTGAAATTATAGAGTACAAGACAAGACTCAGAAAATTAGGTCAACAGGGGGTTAGTAAGCAAATCACATATGCATCAATCAAATAATCAATCACAGAATCAAAAAAAATAGCTATGCAATTGTCAATCCATTTTAACAAATCCTTAACCTTATGGGCAACCATTAATTTGGGATTTAAAATTGTCCTAGCCAATTATATATTTTGATTTGCTAAAGTCAGTGAACATTTAAACTATTTGTAAATCTCAGTTACATCATTACCCAAGTTAATTTTTGCTAACTTTAACAGGCAAACTAGTAACTAATGACTCTGAGCCCCCAGTGTTCTTTAAGTATATGCCATAAAATAAATCAAAGATGGCTAAACACTTGAACACAAAATATAAAAAAAAATATGCTGTTGTCTAGAGGTAAACCAGGAACAATATCAAGACAAGAATCTCACTTTGTGAGTGGGTTCTATGCCGGGACGAGATCCCCAATCTGTGGCGGGTAACTTCGCTTTAACTAGCGAATGCACTATGTGCACTTTACAGAGGGAATTACAAACAGTGAGTCATCATATAGTCTTATAGTAACCCCAGCCTTGCTGGTTAAATGAGAGGATTCGGGGTTTGCCCACATCTTATTCCCTGCTGTAATTAAGATTGTATATTTAAATGTTCTTAAGTTCACTGACAATGTTTACAGTTAAAATGAAACTTCATAAAACTGTAGGAACATTAAAACTAACATTTATTCAGCATTGGATATCAAAATAATAAACAAAATGGCTGTGGATATAGAATCCTGTTATTCAAGGTAGGTTAGTTAAATCTTAGCTGTAGCTTAGGTTTCTGTTGTCAGCTTCTGACTAAGCTTCGGAAACACATCAGGCAGGCCGAATCTTCCAGTCCAGTCCGGACAATCGGGTATCTGCAGCTAAGCTTAGGATCTACTTCTGGACTACCATCTGGAATACAATCTGGAACCCTGGCAGGGAATTCAAACAGAAAATTGGACCACAGGCAGACTAACAACTTTAGGTCTGAAACCGGTCAATTTCTGAATTGAAAAGGGAACAGGAAGTCAGGAGGAAGTAACTCTTCAGTCCCCCTTGCACTACTCTTCGCCTATATTACCTTTCAACTCTTTAATTATAATTTTGCTACAATGAAGCATTAAGAAAAAGGTAAGGAAATTTCTTAATTAATCCAGTGTTATTATGCTAATTAAAAGCAATAGGAAAATGTTTAGAACTTTGGTAATAATATTATCTAAACAAAGCACTTTTTAAAAGGACAGAAACAGCTGTCCAGACCAGCTCGTCACACTAGAAAACATCACTTTGAATTACAAGTGTGTTTGGTTCTAGAAAACATCACTTTGGATCACAAGTGTGTTTGGTTCTAGAAAACATCACTTTGGATCACAAGTGTGTTTGGTTCTAGAAAACATCACTTTGGATCACAAGTGTGTTTGGTTCTAGAAAACATCACTTTGGATCACAAGTGTGTTTGGTTCTAGAAAACATCACTTCGAATAGTAGATGTGTAACAGTAGCATTAAGATAATAAATGACATAATAATTTGAGCCAAAAATGGGGTGTGACTGTCCTCACAGAAGTGTGTGCTATCCAGACTGATCGATTCCAGAAGGCAAGATTGAGTGATGGAACTGACCAGGACACATTATTTGTGTACAATCAGAAGTTTAAAGGTGAGTTGTGGTGTGGTTGGTCAGATAGTATGTGCTGTTGTTTAGATAAGGTATGCAGTTAGATTGATTGGCTGTGTTGTTAATTAAAGTATACTGTTGTTTACATGGAATATGCTGTTCATCAGATGAGGTGTGCTGTTGTTTAGATTACATGTGCTATGGTTTGGGCATGACCTGCTGCTGTTTATGTGGGAATTGCTGTTGTTTATGTGGGATATGCTGCTGTTTATATGGTTATATCGGATGTGTAGTTGTTTATGTTGGAAATGCTGTTGTTTGTGTGGGATGTGCTTTTGTTTATATGAGATTTGCTGTTGTTTATGTGGGAAATACTGTTAGCTCAGGTGTTCTGTTGAGATAAGATGTAAATAGTTTTAAAAAAAAGTAGTTTCCTTGACACGCCAGTGGCACTGTGGGCATATGAGGCTAAACTAATATTTTTGTAGACCAGTCAGTCCTTGATGGGGGATAGGATGTGCTGTGATTAAAAAGTGTGCTGTTGGGGGGGGGGGGGGGGGGAAGAGGAGGAGCAGCTGGCTGAAGGGATAGAACACTGGGCTGTCATGCCTGAGACCCAGGTTCAAATCCTTGGTAAGGTTGTGATTTTTTTTCTGTCGGAGGCAAAAATAAAACTTCTAACCTGCACAGTCTGTGGCCATGCAGTCCTAAATCCTCAGGCTCAAAGACATCCCCCCCTCCACCACATCCCTTTCCCCCCCCCCCCCCCCCCACCCACCTCCCCTGGTACCAGCAAGTTGTTTGAGACATCATTTTTACAGTGTTATTGTAATATACACTATATGGTGAGTGCCAGCATCTTTCCCCCAGATATACATATATAGTAACCTCTGATCTGTTTATGCGGCGTCTGTGGCTTAGGTGTTGCGAGTCCGACTCGTAATTCCAACGTACTGCGATCAAAACCCACTGCTGGCTGTGTGGATTTTTGTCATGGTATGGGGCTTAAAATGGGTACAAGGATGATTGTCCTAGGGAAGTAAAGACGGCCGGCGTAATGCTGATCACATTACCCACCTAGTGCCGATGATCTGTAAAAATATGGGCACTCTTCCCATATACCCGATACGCCTACAGGCATGAAAAAGGATCTTTACTTTTTTTCAACTTTACTTACTGATCTGTTTACCTAACAGGGTCTGTCAGTAGCTGCGGAGATGAAACCACAGAAGGTGCCGTGACAGAGAACTGAGTCCAGCCAGTATAATTCTTCAGCACAGGGTCCATAAACTGGTGAACATGAAACAGGACAAATGATTATAGTGGCAGGCATACCGTGGGGGGGGGGGGGGGGGGGGGGGGGGGGGGGGGGGGGGGGGGGGGGGGGGGGGGGGGGGGGGGGGAGTTCAAGTACTAGCCATGTCAGAGAGGTGAACCACTAGAAAAGACACATTCCACACGGGGTTCAGAGGTTGTTGAATGTGGACTAGAGCTGCATGAGCTAGCAAACGATAGTGCCTCCTATAAATTCAGAGCTGTAAACTCTGGTGGAAAGTTCTGGTTGTTCGTCCACTTCTGGACTTTAGTCTATCATATTTTGAGGGGGATAACATGTTGCTGTGGTTGACTTCCTTCACATCATTTGTCATATTGTGATAGTTGATGAGTGAATGTTTTTATGGGTAAAGAGTGAATGTTGATGGGATGAATAAACAAATTCAGAATTAACATCACTATACTTGGGTCCTTCCCACAGGTGCTCTGTCTCTCTTTTAGTAGGCAACCACAGAATTCTCATGTTGATGGTACCATTGTATCTAAAATAGAATGAATTGTGAAATCCTGACTTTTCTTGGCATCTTGATGAAGATAGTTTGCCATTGCTTTCCTTCTTCACAGTGGCCACACTGGTTGATTTATATTGTATGGTTAATTTGAAAGAGTTGAAATTGCTGCAGTTTAGAAGTTTTAGTTCAGATCTGTGTTCTCACTGTTGCTGAGAGGATGTTATAGAACAGGGATGTTCAACTAAGTTTACTCAGGGGGCCAAAATGTTGAAATGTTGATCGTCTTGGGCTGGAAGCTGAGCCCCAGAATAGAAAGATCATTAAGTAAAGGACCCTTTTCCACGCCTTCAGGCATATTGGGCATATAGGGCTAGATTGATATTTTATAGACCAGTCGACATTTGGCGGCTGATGTGATCAGCATCACGCTGGCCGTTTTTACTTCCCAGGGCTAATACCTAGTACCCACTCAAGGCTGGGTCAGCCTGGGAGTCAAGGTCATTTGTTAAAACGGTCCTGTTCCGCCAGGACCTGATCCCACGTCCTTCCCATCCACATGTGAGCCTCTAGCCGCTACACCGTGGCGACTCCCAGAAAGATTATTAATACAATACAATTAACATTGATCGGCAGGCCCATTGTTAGGCCCACGGGCCGCAAGTTTGATAGCCCTGTTGAAAGGGGTAGGCGCAGAGTGTTGCAGTTCTTGTACAAACTCTTGCCTCTAAAGTTGTTGCTTCCAGCTTCCAGAAAGTGGTGTGTACATGTTGAACAGATTAATTTGACATTGTTTATTTTAACAATTACAATAGCAACATTGTTACATTAGACGAGTTAAGACTCAACATCATAGCACTCAGGACATTCCCTTAAGTGCTCTGTCTTCATTGAATTCTGATGGTGCCGGTAACAGTCTGATTGTATTTCTGTCTCACCTTTTCCCTACATTTTGAGTGTTGGCCAGATCTTTCAGTCATAACATTCATAGCATGACCCTTGATCCATTAGGGTCGTGGAGGTGTATTGATAGAAGCACTAGCACATAAAACCTGCCATCTTTCTCTGTCTTCCGCTGGATGAATAAGTGTATGATAACTTAGTCCTGTCCATTTCTTGATGTTGTCATTCCAGCTCCTTCTTTGCCCTCCTCTTCTTCAGCTACCCCTCAATTTTCCTCAAAGTACAGTCACTGCTCGCTGTACTGTTCCCTTCAGAACATTATTGTATTATACCAGTTGAATGAAAATAACATTTGTACAGGCTTGTTTCATCTGAATATTATATTCGAATTATGAGATCACAAACTAATATATTGCACATCTAATTGCCAAGCATATTTTTCTATTGGTGTGATGATCACATCGTCCAGCGAGAGCTGATTGGTCTATAAAATATAGGTCCATCCCTGTATGCCCAATATGCCTGAAGGCGGGGGAAAGGGTTACTTACTTTTACTTATATTGCTCTGGATCTTGTCAGGTTCATTAAGCGCATAATTTACAAAAACATAAAACACATAATGAAGCACAAAAGGTGAAAACCCTTACAATTGAAATAAACACATAAAATTGTCTCTTATTACATACTTTATCTTAGCAGTGAAAATCTGAGGTGAACCATGTGATCATCGCTGAGATCTCAGATTGTTGATGTAAAAGGCCAAATATGCCATGTAGTCTGTTGTGCAATATATGGTTTGTCATCTCATTATTTCAATTCATGACAGGAAAACATTGTTTTGAATTATATTGTACATTCCATTAATACTGAGGATGACCTGAGAAAAAAAGGCAGTCGTTGAACTATTTTTCTTCTTCTTGGCTTTCACCAGCTGTAAACTCTGGCAGAAACTTCTGGTTGTTCGTCCACTTCTGGACTGCAGTCCTGTTCCAGAACTTGAGTGTTGCGTGTGCATCCGTTTTACAGATCTGACTCATTTGTATGCAGACTGCTGGTTCCTTGCCTGTCAGGCAGATGCACTCCGACTTTGAAGAGAGCTCCCAATTAGTTGATTCTTACGACATGCTTTTGGGTAGGCAGTGGGTCTATTCTTGTTTTGCCTATAATAGGGCCCCGGAAACCACATGGGGAAGTTGTTTAACTAAAAACACCCTTTCATAGCATATATTTCATGAAAGAATTGAGTGTCTGGCCAGTTTGTTGTGGCAGTGGTATTTCAAGTGAAGCAAACAGTGTAAAACAAACACTGTTAAAAAAATAGCGGGGAAATACAAATACTCCGTACTCCTTATAGATTCCAAAGCTCCCTTTTTTTAAAGGATAAAAAGAACCTTAACAAGCATGCCTTAGCAAGCATGCCATGGAAAGTGACTATTGAAAGATTTAGCTGAAATCTGATGTGCTGGCCTGCAAGGCACATATATTGCAGCCTAGCTGTAAACTACAACACAACATTCCTGTTTCAGTGCAGATGTAGAATAAGAAGCATTTCATCTCACATGTGATGATTTTTCTCCGATGTGATGATTTTTCTCCGATGTGATGATTTTTCTCCGATGTGATGATTTTTCTCCGATGTGATGATGATAGGGACCAGGTTTGACATTGTTGGCAAGGACCAGTAGATTTCGTTACATCAGCAGCCACCCACAGCTGCCCATTTGCTGTCCAGCTTATGCAGGACAGAGAAAAGATTTCTTGTCTGCACACACTCTGTGTTATCCAGATGGCTCACCAAAGTGGGGCCAGGATGCAGTTGACCATAGGGCATGGCAGGGGAAGCCAAATGGCTCACCTGAGTGGGACCACGATGCAGTGGACTGAGCTGCCTGGTGGGAGAAACTCAGAAAGGGAGAAGGGATAAAAAAGAAAATGACTGCAGGTAGGTGATGAGCTGGGCGCCCGAGACAAAGGATGTGGAGTATATGCGATGGAAACTGTTGTCTTGAAATAACATCTGAGGACAGTTTAGGGATGTTTTGCAACTTTTAAGTTAATTGCTGCCTTTTCTTTTTTCGTCATGCTGTTACCAGTTTTTAGCCCAATCTTTGGGGATAACTGCTAAAAATGTGGTCTGTGTGTTGTCTTTCTCTGCCTAATGCTGTTAGGTGTCACAGGCATGGCTAATGATCGGTTTTCAGGATAGTGCACACTCATTAGTGCGCTCCATAGTGATATTGTTGAGTTTCAGCAAGTTGTTATTTCAACCTATCCATCTTTTTGGCATTCCTCTGTCTCTTGATGTTTCCATTCCCATGTTGCATGCTCTTGCAACTGGTGAATCTGGGTTCATTCTAGACAAACCATTTCAGTCTTCGTTTTTTAGTGAATCTAATTACACGTTTTGTTTCCACCAGTCTAATAATATCTTTGGTTCTTTTATGGTCTTTTCTGGTAATATTGACTGCATTTCTGAAACATCTAATTTCATACATTGTTAATTTCTGCTCGTCTTGCGTTAGTGCCCAGGTTGGCATTGGAAACATAATTTTGGTTAAAAAGATTCTGTTTGGGATTTATCTCTGAGATTCCATTGGTATTGCTGGGTGTTTCAGTACTCGGGAAAGTTAATAGGTTACACTGTTGGCTTGCTGGATTCCAGACTCGACCCCTCTGTCCAATCTGGCGTCTGTTGTGAAGATGCTTTCAAGATCTTAAAGGGCTGTTTATGAGTTATGTTTGATGATTTGGGTTATCTTCACGGCACTCCAGACATGTCCTTAGGTGCTCAGATTCCCCCCGGTCAACATATACATCAGCGTCCTGTGATTGATAGTCCCAGTCTTGTTGGTTGACAAGACTTCTCGTGCATCCAGTGTGCTTCTCATGCCTGGCTGTGTCGATCTTTACTCCCTATTCTTGCACTGTTAGCAAAGATGCTGATTTGCTGTTCCTAAAATCCGATCTTTCTAATGGCATTAACAATATCTACATGATCCATGGGCTGGCCCTCTGTGTAACTAAGGCATAGCTGGCTAATATGTTGACTCTTTCATTGCCAAAAACAACTGCATGCCCTGGGACCTAGGCTGTATATACTTTTAAGGGTGGTAGGACAGAGGGATTGTTAGCCTGAAGATGAGGGGGCCCCATAACTAGTGCAAACGCCAGATTAGACTGCACAGATTAGGAATTTTTTTTTGCCCCCGGCAGAAAAGCTAATAGAAGATTCGAACTTGAATCTCCTGCATGAGAGCTGAACACTCTGAACTCTTTCAGTGCCACGAAACTCATTGGTTACTCTCTACTTAGTAAACACATTTTTCTATTTTTCCTGTCTCATTCTTCTGTTGTGTTAACCCCTTTCATTTGCTACTGTCATGACTTCTGTCCCACAGTTTTATGCTTCAGTTCTGTGACGCACACTCTCTCTCTCTCTCTCTCTCTCTCTCTCTCTCTCTCTCTCTCTCTCTCTCTCTCTCTCTCTCTCTCTCTCTCTCTCTCTCTCTCTCTCTCTCCAAGATACAACTAAATGTGACTAAAAGAGTTAACTATGGAACCAGCC